CATATACTATCTATTGTTGCCTCTGCCTTAAAATCCCAAATCACTCTGTATTTTGTTAAGTCTTGTGTAGACTTTGTGTAGAATCTGTCAAGTTATAGTCATCATACTATAGTTGAGCAGCTTCTGTTATTACTGTAGTTAAAGGAAAAACTACAGGTTAACAATATCTAATTCTTTTACTATTATATATTGGAGTTTTAGTCTCTGACTTTAAATTTATTCTTTCATTTTCTTACTCAAGAGCAGTTATTCTTTTTTTTAAGAAACTTATTTCATACTTCAATTTATTATTTTTAACATATAACATTTTATTATTATTTTTATCTTTTTTATTTTATTTGATTGAATCATTATGATTTTTTAGAAATCTTTAAATTATATCATTTTTAACTTTAATTAAATTTGATAATTTTTTAAATCTTTCTTTTCATTCATCTAATTCATTATTTAACATATATATCTTATTCTTTTATTTTTGAATTTCATTATTTTTTTGAATAATTTTATCTTTAAGGTCTTTTACATTATTATTCTTTTTATCAATCATTTCATAATATTCATTAAGTTTTTTTTTAAGTTTTTTAACTATATTTTTAGTATTTACATTTTCATTTTTTGATGCATTAGAGGATATATTTGTAATTTCATCAAAAGATTTATTATTATTTTCTTTTTTGATATCATTTTTATTTAAATCATTCATTTTTTCTTTAACATAAATTATTTCATTAACAGTTATATTTTTTGAAATTTCTTTTTCAACAAAATGATCATTATTAATAAAAGTATCAAAAATCAAAACATCATTTATAGAAACTTTATTATTTATAAAAGAATATTAATCATCTGATAGAAGAATATAAGAACAACTAATGGTTTTATTATTAATATTAATACATTCATTTCTGTTCAATTCATTTAATTCATTAAATTTAGTAAAACAATAATCATTTTCATTAAGTTCAAAATACATCTTTTTTTTTTAATTTTTTTTAAGTGAAAGTTGTTGAATTCATTCAGAAATTTGATTCTTATTTTAATAATTTTTTCTAGTTATCATATTTGTTACAAAAACAAATTTTGAGTATCTATTTTCTAAATTAAATATAAGAATTAGTTTCATAATTTTCTAAATATAAATAAATTAGTAATATCAAATAGATAATAAAAACTGTTTTATCATATAATTCTTATCAAATTTTTTATCTATTTTCTTTTGGTAATTCTTATAACTACAAAGAACCAACAAACATTTATCTTTTTTTTGTAATTGTATTCTTAAATTCAATATACAAATCCATTATATAACATTAATATAAATAAAATACATTAATGATTAATGGTTTCATTTTGTGTAATGTAATAATTGATATGACTATTAAGTGTATTAGTACACCTTATTCTATAGATGAACCCAAAAAACATATGCAACTTTTTTGACTAAAATCAATCATGTCAATACTTGGTAATTTGATAATTAAAAAGTAAATAAGTAAATAAATAATCAGTTATAGTATTTTACCTGTTTCTTTTCATTATACTAATAAACCTTAAACACCAAATACTTATTGCAAGACCAACGAAGTTAAAGATTCAAAATCGTAGAAGTTTAATAAACCTCTACAATAGCTCCGTAACTGCTAAGAAAACGGAACTTTTGTCTTCTCATTTAGGTTCTTAGGGCGAATACTTAAAATTGCAGTTGATCAACATAAATGACGATCATTTTTTTATCCAATTAAAATGAACTTTACCAATGCTGACTGACTGATATTGTTTTTATAGGACACAAATTTTAATCATGTGATTCGAAAGTATCATCAAATCATCCCATACGGATCTCGACGCGACATCAGCCATGTCAGAATCAACAGAAGTATTAGAAACTCAACCTCCATTTGTAGCAACGACTGATCCTCAACAAGAAGAGACGGCACAAAACCTTGAGCCTGACAAGCTCAAGACTAAGCAAGAATGGGTTAAACGTATGCGACTGAAATTCAGCATTCGACCCGAATTTGAAATTACTTGGAACATATTACATTCGGATGGCACATTGAATCAAGAGTAAGAGTTTTTACATTTTTGACTAATTGGTAATTATATAATTTTATGATACAAGCGCTGCATTTATAACGTTAATTTAGTTACTTTCGACCTCCAAAAGGATCAATACCACAACTGCAACGAAAATTGAACGAACACAAACGACGTCGGGAACATGGAGACAAGCGTGATTTTTCTAAGTCACACTAGTAATTCTGGTGGATTTAATTTAGAAATACTGTGTCTGTACGTACATACGTATATACATATTTTCGGCATACAAAAAGTCATGGCAAATGCACCCAGAAGCATGGCTTGAAAAAGCTATTTCTAAAGGATATATTAATAATTTTGAATATAATAAATTTGCAGGCCTTACAATTATTGGCAGCGGATGCTTTGGAAAGGTTTTTAAATTCGAATGGAAAGATTAGTTGCTCTTAAATTTCTTAAAATCGATACCGACATAGGATTAAATAAAGATTTTATGAATACTTTCAGTTTACCATCTTAATGTTATTAAATTTACATGTATAACAATGGATATTATAATATAGTTTTACAAGATGTTAATGACGGAAGTTTATAAGAATCCTTAAAAGCAAATTTTACAAGATTGCAATGGACAGATAAACTAAGTATTGTTAAGGAAATGGTGACTACAGTCAAGTCTATTCGTCAAAATTAGGGATGTTAAGTGGTCCACGGGGAACGAGTTCGGACCGGGTCTGGACCGAACTTTTTAGGGACTAGCGCGGAACTGGTCCAAAACCAGTTCTGACATCACATGGTATTCCACATGATATATATAGTGTCATTTTTGACACATTAAATAAATTTCAATAAATAAGGAATCATGAACGATACTCTTTAAACGGTAGTACTTTAAATAATGATTTAAAATTTCCTAAAATTTCCTAATCAACACAAAACCCGAATTCGGATTTTGCCAATTATGTACGTATTGAAGAATTATATCGACACGTAACTTAAACAAAAATTCAAGCAAAAAATTACAACCAGAAAGTATTATAATTATGGTTTTTCTAAGTATTCGGAATATTCGATTGTCTTTTAAAATGATTATAATTCTTCAATTTTTGCAATGGTACAAAATTTTCATTAATACTACCAAGCCATTTATTACTATTTGGGTTCATTATGTTTTCTTCAACAATTTTTATTGCTGTGTCCTTGATTCAAAATTAAAAAACCTTTTACTTAAATAAATAACCAGAGTTATAATCTTCTGGAAGAGCATTAGAAATAAAATCTACAAAGTTTTCTGGTACAATTGCATTTTCTTGATTATTTTTTATAATTTTATTTCGATTTTCATTCTTTTTTCATGAAAATTTTGTTACAACAATCAATGTATATTTTTAGAAGTGTTTATTAGATTTTATGCTTTTAATAATTGTTCATCACTTTGAAATATTAAAGAAAAAAACCACATACTAAATCAATTATGTTAATATTTATTATCATGATGAATTGACAATATTACATGATTATCGTAACTTTTTTGGATGATGATTTTAATCTTTCGTTTTTAATCAATAATAGTCTAGTAATCATAATGTAAAATATAATATTTGTTTTCAATCAATAATGGTCAAGTAATTATAACATAATTATAGAATTAACAATTTTGCCTTTTGATCAATAAAGTTGCCAACAATTGGAATATAAAAGAATAAATATGAAACTTTTATTTATTATCAAAATATGCAGACAATAATGCTGAACGAACACACAATGTTAGTTATAGCTATATAAATACATTCGTTTAATTGCTTAAATGATTATGTATTTGTATTTGGTTTTTTTTATATAATTGTTTTTTTTTTATTATGTGTTTGTTTGATTTTGACATGATTTTTAATATGATTTTTAATGCTTATAAGTATAAAAACTTTAAACCAAAATCTAAATTCTTGAAAATTTTTATTAGTTGCATTATGTCTTTTAATCAAAATTTACAAAACTTTATACTTATTTTTAATATACTTATTCATTCAAACAAGAATTTTGTAATTGAATTAAGTTCTGATTTTAATAAAGAAACTAATGCTGAAGAAACCAAAGAATTATTTTTTAAATATAATAAAAATACACATCCTATTTAGAATTATTTTAAACCAACTTCAGATAAAAAATTCATTCTTTGCAATATATATTCTGAAACCAAATACAATATTAAAACTGGTATTAGTATGATCAAATAACATTTCAAAAGTAATCATAAATCCAAATATCATTAATTATTTCAGTTATCATCTTGAATATTATAGTATTTATAATAAAAAAAAAATAAAAAAATTAAATAATCTTTTGGTTGATGGATTGTTTGCAATCAACAATCATTTTGTGTAGTTGAAGATGAAGAGTTTTATATATTTGTTTTTGAACTTGATTTTTATTATAGGTTTTCTAGTAGCCAAACAGTCTTAATTCATATCTAGAAACTATACAAAAGAGAACATAACCAACTACATAATTTTCTTAAAACTTTTGAGTATAAGATGTCAATTATGACTAATATATAACCTATATGTACAAATCAAGCTTTTCTAACAATTACATTGTACTGGATCAATGACAAATAGAAGTTACATTATATACTTTTAGATTTTGTTCTCCAACATGAACAATATATAGAAGTTTTTTTAGCTAAATTGATTTTTAAAATAATTGAGAAATTTGAATTAAAAAGAAAAATTTTGTTAATAACTACTAATAATGCAAGTAACATGAATCTTTGTGATGAATATCTTATTAGTATGATAAATATTATTATGATAATAATACTTTTTGTAAGTTGTGATATACTGCCTATATACTTAATCTCACTGTTATTAATAGTCTTTCTATAATTAATAAATTAACAAAAAAAGCATGAAATTTGCAAACTATATTTATTACTTTCAACATTGCTTAGAAGAATAAAAAAATTTTTACAATAAAGAATCAATAATTTTTAATGTTTAAGCTTGAGTGTAAAACTTAATAGAATTTGTTGTATCTAATATTAAATAAATTATATAAAATAAAAGATATAATAGACATATTAGTGATTTTAATATTACAACTTAAAGAACAATATATGACTATTCAAAATTAGAATAATATTCAAACTCTAATAATACTGTTAAAATTTATTTATGAAGTTACCAAGTTATTTTCTTCATCAACCTATCCAACTATTAGAGATATGTAATATTTTTTTTATGTAATTGTTACATATCTAATTAAAACTAAAAGAGAAATAAATTCAACAAAATCATAAATATCTGAAAAGATTCTTAAAAAATTTAATAAATATTAAAATAAATTACAATTCTTTCTTTCAGAAACAGTATTACTTAATCTATTATCCAAATTTTCTGCTTTTTATTTCATTTATGAAAAAAATTATATATACCAAATAATTAATAAGACTTATAAAAACTATACTTTTTCTAATAATAGAACAACTACTTAAATTCTATGTTTAGATCAGTTAAACTCATCTTATAATTATTTTCAAAATCAGGTAAAATAAATTTATAATGATATGTCTGTTAGTTGTAATGTATTAGATGAATATTTGAATATATCTAATGAAAATATAGATACCTTTGTATTTTGAAAATTAAAATCTTTAAATATAAAATAGATACCTCTTGTTAAAATAGCTTAAGACTACTTGGTTGCTTAGACAATCAGTATTCCAAATGAACAAGTCTTTTCTCTTATAAAATATATAATAAGTGCTATATAAAATCAGTTAGAAGATGAGAAGGTTTATGCAAGTCTTTATCTAAAAACATAGTATGATACAGAAATAATAAAAAATAATTTTAAGATTTAAGATTAGTTTACTAATATGTATTTTTTTATAATAGTTATTATGTAATACAATAAAGTTTTAATAAAGAATATTATTAAACTACTAGAATAGAACTACTATAGAACTAATTTTTGACAGAAAAGTGAACTTGTTTTTAACTAGTTCTGAACTAGACTTTTTAGAGATCAAGCTAGAACTAAATCAGATGCACTACTTAATATCTCTAGTTAAAATTTATCAGTTTGATATAATTATAATTTATCAAGTTTATAAACCTCTTTGTTTCTAATTTTGAATTTAACTATTTCTTTATTTACTGATATCCAGAAATTATTTACATCTTTCAAAAACTTTTTATACTAAATATTAAAAGAACAAATCCATTAATGTTTCTAATACTATTTTTATTTATTCTCATTTTAGCAATAACATATAAGAGTACTCAAGAGAATCTCAGTCTACTATTACCAATCAGCCAGCTACTTGAAAGTTGTCAATACATTATGCTATATCATCAGCCAACTTTAGTCAACCAGCTACTTAATACATCATGCTATTATCTCAATAACTAGAACATATTCTGGCTTTAGTTCAAGAACATCAAAGGAACTTTAGTCTACTATTATTAACTAGTGCTTAGCAAATCAAACAAAAACTTGATTTTTAAGTTTTCAAAAAAGTTGTACATCTATTGGTTATATGAATTAGTAAATTATTTTTAAAACTAATCCTATCTTAAACTTTAAAATAATGATATGTTCTTATATATATTACAGCATTGAGTATTGTATTATCATATAAAAAATATATTGTAATCAAGTTTGTGAATATTTATTTTATTATATACTTTTAAATTTATTTTATTTTTTATTAATAATATTTTAGATCTGTTACAATTTACATCTCACTTTTACTTATTAATCAGATGTGTGAATTTTTAAACAGAATGTATTAAAAATATGAAACTGGCAAAGTACTTTAAACATTTATTATAATATAAAGATAAAAGATTTATCTGTTATAATTGCTAGAGGTATTTTATACTCAATTTTCAAATGAGATAGTAAGCACTATAAGAAGGAAGAGTGTATATTAGACAAAATTTTAATGATAACCAGCTTATAGTAGCAGAAATCCAAGAACAAATTACTAATAATAATATACATATAGCTGATTATATTATAAGATTCAGTTAGGGTTTGTGTAGATCAAGACAGTTTTGGAATGCAAGATATTGTGAACTATCTGATATAATTAAGCAATTAGGCTCACAAGGATTAATATTCTTCATATTTAGTATTGTTAATTTACATTGGCCTAAGCTTCATAAGCTTATGCCATCTAGCAAAAATTATAATCAAAATATTGTTGACAATTTTCATATCACAACTTGGTTTTTTAATAAACATTTTAAAATCTTCTTTAATAATGTGTTAATAAAAAAATAAGAGTTAGAAGATTGGTAATATAGATTCAAATAGCAATATTGTAGTAGTGTTCATGTGCATAAAATTGGTAAAATAAAAAATGCACCTAAAATTAAGTGGGAACAAATAAAGAAAGATGAGAACTCTCTAAAAGAGATAGTGAAATATGTTGACACTCTTGTTACCACAATTAATTCAGAGCCTAATGTTTCTATTTCTAAAAGACATTCATGTCAAAAACATCATAAAGAACTATATGATGATCTACAAGATTATATTGAATTAGTTAACAAATTACAAAAACATACATGATGTAGCTTTGCATATTGTTTTTAGATCAATCATACAGGACAGCAACAGTGTAGATTCAAATACTCTAAGAAGAAAAACAATTATACCTTTTTGTATTATAACAAGCACAATTATCCAGAGCTCATGATTGCAAAAAATGATGCATATATCAATCTACATAATAGATTTCAATTACAAGAATGAAGAGCAAACATTAATTTAAAATCTGTACTTAGTATTTATGCAGCTCTACAATATATTTCCAAGTATGCTAATAAAGCTGAACCACAATCTGTTGCTTTTTTGGAAATTTTAAATCAGATTCTTCATAACAGTAATTCCAATGATCAATTAATTGCATTAATCCAAAGGCTATTACTCTATAGTATAGTAGAATGTGATATATTAGCACAAAAAATCTGTTATATTCTTTTTAAAATACCTCTTTATCATTTAAGTTATATATTTATTTCAATTAATTTTAATAAAGAAACACCATAATGGCTTCATAATATAGGTTCAAGAGAGGATAATAATGTTTTTGAAGTTTGAAATTCAGAGTTGACAATATGATCTGCTTAAAAATTTATTGAGATTGGGATTCTGAATTTGAAAAATTTTTTCATTATATAAATTAAATCTTAAATATAAATTTACTAAAAATAAATAGTGTAAACACAAACAAGAAAACATTATATGCATATGGCCATGTCTTTCATCTTTGCAAAATGGCCCAGAATAGGAGGAGTTCTGCTATATGAAAGTTTTTCTTTATGTTTGTCATCATGATTTTCAGGTGTTAACTCAAAACAATACTATTTCTTGGATAGATCTATATAATAGTTATATTAATGAAATAAATTCTGATTTAATAGACTTATTTGAATCTCCTGTAGATAATAATGAAAATAAAATTATAAATGATAAAAGTAAAAAGGAACAGTCCAAAATAAATACTAATTTGATTAAATGTTTTTGGCAAAAATAGGTCTAAATTCAAGTATTGATTGTTTTTCTGATCTCAAAAGCCATGACATTGATCGAAATTTTGATTAGATCAATAATGTTAAAGAGCAAGATTCTAATACTGATCTTATAGAAGCAAATTCTTTTATTTAAAGAGCATCTAATCATGCTAGTGATGTTTTTGAAACAAAAAGTGAAAGTTCTATTAATGATATTGATTATCAAACTTTAAATGTAAAACAAAAAATAATTTTTAGCAAAATAGAATCTCATTATAATAGCATTCTTAATAATTATTAAATTAAGCTATTGAGAGTTATCATTATAAGGACTGTGAATACAGAAAAATTGTATCTCATTCAAGCACTCAGAAGTCAACTTCATGAGATGGCCAGAAGTAGTTCTGATTTACCAATATTAGTGCTTGCTCTAACAGGTATTGCAGCTTTCAATATTAATGAAGTGACAATTTATTCAAAACTTTTTATTTTAGTACTAATTAGAAGTAATCTTGATATTAGTGATGAATGACTAAAACAATTACAAAATTAGTTGCAACATATAAAGTATTTTATCATTGATGAAAAAAGCATGGTTGGACACAAAATGCTTATTATGATTAATATATGATTATGTCAGACATTTTCTGAGTATAAAAATAAACCTTTTGGTGAAAGGTCTATAATATTGATTAGTGATTTTGGTTAGCTTCCTCCTGTACTTGACTACTCTATATATATAACACATATTTTGCAAGATTCATTATCTAATAATAGTATCATAGCATATAAACAGTTCTAAGAAGTATATAAGCTTGATATTATTCAGCATTAAACTGATGATTCTAAACAACAACAGAATTTCAGAAACATTTTATTGTAATTACAAAATGGAGAATCTACAATTTCAGATTGGAAAACACTTAGTATGCAGTTTGAAAATAAAATAACAAAAGCAGAACAAAGCCAATTTTCAAATTCTATATTTATCTCATCAATATGAATAGAGGTTAATCTAATAAATACAAATATGCTTAGATCTTTAAATGTTCCTGTTACTAAAATCCTTGCAGTATATCATAAAGGTGATAGAGAAGCTAAAAAACTGTTTCAGACATAGTAAATAGTCTTGAAGCTGAACTTTTATTAATCAAAGGTGCATGTATTATGTTAACTGCAAACCTGTAAACAGAAGCTGAATTAGTTAATAATTCAATAAAAACTGTTTATAGTATATTGTTTAAAGAAGAACAGAGATCATCTTTACTTTCTATAATGATTTTTATAACCTTTACTAATTATAAAGAACCTATCATTAGTACCTTAGAGGGTATAAAAGTTGTTCCAATTGTGCCAATTCAACATACATAGGAGAATAAATTCAAAAATATATGCTTGCACTTGCAAATCTTTATTTATCTTGTATAGGCTATTACAGTGCACAAAAGCCAAAGCCTTATATTACCAAAAGCTGTAATAAATATCAGCAACAAAGAATTTACAGCTGGTCTTTTTTTTGTAACAATGTTCTAAGTCTGCACTCAGCAAGATATTTTTTTAAAAACATTTAATTTTCAAAAACTTCAAAAAATTATGATCTGTAAAAAATTGCAAGAAAAGAAAGATGAAAAAAAATAGCTAATTTCTTTAATTTCTAAAATTTAATTAGTCAAACATAAAATTATATAGAATAAATAGATCATTAGTTTTTAAAAAATAAAAAAAATTTAGAGTATTCATATAAATAATTTTTATTTTTGTATTTTAGTATTTTACAAGCATTTAAAGTTTGAATCTGTTTTATTTTTTATATGTTATATATATTAAGAACAGAGTTTCTATAATATATAATGCTTATAGGCAAGTTAATATACCAGAAACAAATGCAAAATCTTGAAATTAATTGGTCTGTATAACTTATTAATCATTCACTATTTTTTAAAAAATATAAACATATACATCTGTAAAATCAAAGATGCTATAACAAATGATAATAAAAATAAGTTTTTTATATACAAAAATTAGTGTTCCAATATAAATTTAAAGGCATCAATGCTAAATATTTGGTAATTTTTATTTTTTTCATTGCATTTTTTATCAGATAGATAAAATAATAAATATGTTTTATAGATTTTTAATATTTTTTGCAGCCTTATAATTTTGAATCAAATTTATTGAAACTGAATGATGCTAGCTAACCAACTATATAGCAATCAGATATTGACTTCATTAATAGGTTTTTAGCTTCACTCACTAAAATTCAAACCAATATTCAGATTGCAAGTATTATCAACTTCTTTTATAAAAAGTTATTTTTTTATACTAGAAATGGATTGCAATAAAGAATATAGTTTTTATAACTAAAATGATGTCTATGTAGATTTTTCTGTTTCTGATTTCACATAATAATGTTGCACAGCTACTTATGAAAATAATACTAGTTCTAAATATACTTGTCAGCAAAACTCAAATCTAAGAAAATTTTTTAATTTTTAAAAAAAGTCTTAATATTTTGTGTTTAATTAAAAATTAATTTTTTGAAGTATTACCAGTAATATAAATTGAAATTTGCACATATATTAGTACTCATTATATATATAACATGCATATAAATTTTTTTTTTGAGATATTTTTTTTTTGTATTTACACTAATAAAATTTTTTTGAATTTATAATACTAGGTATTGAATTATAATAGTTTGAATTTGAGTGTTAAATATTATATATAATTTAGATCAGTTAACAAATTGAAATATTATTGAATAATAGAATACAGAAATATGATACTTTCAAAGTATTTTTGCAGGAAAATAGTTAAAAAAAAATTTAGAAGGCATATCATTTTAAACACTTAGATGTTAATATAGTGTTTATAAATCAAAAAAAAAAATTAGCTTAAAAAAATCTAACTGATTATAGGATTTGCAAAAAATAAGGATTAAAAAAGAATAGGAAAGTAATTTAGAAAAGCATCTATTAGTTTTAGAGTCATGTTTACAAAACATAAATAATACTAACTTTGGTATACAATATAAGGTAGAATATAAAATTAGGCATGCATATATATAAAGAAAAGTAATATTATACAAAATTTGGTTTAATATATAGTTTAATTCGTACAATATGTTTATTATAAATATTAAATACACTATCGAATAAAAATTTAATAATGTTGATATTATAGTTATAAACAATCTTTAAACAGTCATTACTGTATTATGACAAAAAGCAGTTTTTATTATAAGGAGTATGCTGAAACTACAAACATAAATGAATCTGTAAAAAAATAATTTTTATTATTCTTAATTTGATATATATACTTTTGTATTTATTTTTATTATAAGGAATATGCTGAAACTACAAACATAAATGAATCTGTAGAAAATAATTTTTATTATCTTCAATTTGATGTGTTTACTTTTGTTTTTATTTTTGATATTAGAAAAATTTTTATTACATATTATGTAGCATAATCGACAAAAATTTTCAAATTACATTTCTGATCTAATTTTTATAAGAATTGTAATAATGCATCAAAAAGATAACTTTTTAGTGCCTAATGTATCAAAAATGTAACTTTTGTATTAGCTTGTATAAAAATTAATAGTTTGTCACTATACTCTGGCCAATTAGTAGTAGTTATTAGAACTTTTTAATTACTTAGTAATTGCTTAGTTGCTTAGTTGCTTAGTTACTTAGTTATTTAGTTACTTAGTTGCTTAGTAATATCGCTTAGTAATCATTAATTACTAGTTGCTAAAACTTTTTAGTTACTTAGTAACTACTTAGTTATTAGTTGCTTAGTTATTTAATGCTTAGTTACTTAATAGCTTAGTTGCTTAGTCCTTAGTCACTTGATCACTTAGCTACTTAGTTTACAGATATATAAATCTTGTTAAATTTCTTAAGTTTAATTAAGCAACAGACATACCTTTTCTTTTTAATATTATAAAACATATTTTGGAATTCTTTAAGAACAAAAACCTAAAAATAGTCCTTCTTGTTATTACTTTAATAAATAGTTTTTGACTATAAACTGTATTAATGTTTTTCTTTTAGAGTAATTTCTACAGACAAGATTTATTTTCTCTTAGTAAAATAAAGTAAAGTTATTAGTATTGCATTATTTTTTTTGAACTGTCTTAGAAAAGAGTATAGTTTCTTAACAATATCTAATAGAAACTATACTTTTCTCTTGGATATCATATATATTTGTAAGGAATTTCTTGTGCTGTATTATTATTATAGTATAAAAATTAAAAAGAATTTCATCTATAACAGTATATATATAAGATTTGTAATAGTTAAATAATTAATAAGATAAATGATTAAAAAATTTAAATAAATAATCTTTTAGTAGATTATAGATATAGCATTTAGTATAGAACTCTAAAATAGTCTACTTAAATAGACAATTAAAAGTTACATATATGATTAGCTATATTCTTATTTTTATAAAAATACTTGTAATAACTAATCTTAATATATATTAATAAAATAATTAATACAAAATATAATTTTTTTAAAAAAAAATTTAATTTGAACTAGAGTTGTTAGTAAAATTAAATTATGTTAATAAAACTAATATTTATTTAAAATCTAATTAATAATTTTATTAAATAACTAATTAAATTTTAAATAGTTACTAATTTTATTATTATAATTTAGTTTTACTAACAACTTTAGTTTAAGCTATATTTTTAGAAAAACTTTATAAAAACAAGTAAAAAAAGCTTAAAAAAATTTATAAAAAGTTTTAATAAAAAAAACCAAAATATAGATTCAAAAATATTAAAAATTATATATAAAAATTAAAATAGTATTACAAATTTTATTCAAATACTTAAAAAACTAAAAACTTTATACTTATTTAAATTAATACAATATAAAATAACTTTTTTAAAAAAATATAAAATAATATAAAATAATAATTAATTAAGAAAAAACAAATAAAATTAACTTTATAAATAAAAAATAAAAAAATATATTAAAAAACAAAGGTATCAATAAACTAATATATAAAAAGGACAGGTAACAAAAAAACTCTTCCTAATGATTATTTTGACACAAAATTGGTAAGAAAGAAAAACAGAGTTTTTTCACAAATACCAGTAATAAACTACCTAAATAGCACTAAGAAAAAAGAAGCAGCAACAAAAAATACACTAAACAAGTTTAGAAACTAGAATAGACACAGTAATATTAGGGCAGTTATAAGAGGAAAACAAAGTTTTTAAAAAAATTTTAGTATTGAAACAACAATTGTGAAAATTGCTATTTAATCCTGAAAGTAAATCTGTTTATATTGCACAAAAGCTATATAAAATATCAAACAATAACAAACACGTACAAGTGGCCATATACAAATAGATAAACCAATACATGGCAATAAAATATTTTAGAAAAGAATAGATATAGTAATAGATAAAAGTTTGTCTAAAGAGTACAGAGGAAACATAAAGGCAATTTGCATAAGAAGAGCATACTATGCATTGAGCAATGTATATAATAAGCATTTTTTTAATAAAGCTAG